CGACCCCTGAGGGATGCCACTCGTCACTGTTTTCTACTTGGAGGTTGAGCCGTTGACCACGACTCTTTGAGTGCAACCATCCAGCCAATTCCTTATCCACTGAGTGGTCCATCCATCGAATCTATGCCTCTCCAATTTAGAGACAAGGATGTCGTGCAGGACAGTGTCAAATGGTTTTGACTATATATTTATTGCATGTGAGGTTAGAAAGGTGTGTTCTACAAGATTTTATACTCCTTAGGTCATTTTCTCCTGTGCTAAGTGATTCTGCCAAATATTTACAAACAATAAGCACTCTGCCCACATCTTTCTTTTTTTCCTGTTGTTCTTTCAGAGAGCTTGTATCTTTCTTTGTGGAAGCCAGCAGCCTTTTCCCCATGTTTTAAGAAGTCTAGTTTTATTTCTTATAAACAAATATGCAAATTTCTATTTGCTGTAGTAGGTGTATTTCCACATTGTTTGACCATAATCAAAGCACTGTTGTCTTTACGAATCTCAAAGACATTGGACTGTTGACTCTTGATGCACAGTAGTTTTGATGATTGTAGTTCAGTAACATTACACTAAAATGACTGCACTTCCAGAGGGATATGGAGGTCCTTTTTCCCCTAAGTAATAGCTTGTGTGGATGGAGATAATATACTATGTCTGGATTTGACTTGCTAGTGTGACTCTTAAACCTGGTGTAGTGGAAGGTGTCCCTGCCCATGGCAGGGGGTTTGGAACTAGATGATCTTTGAGGTCCCTTCCAACCCAAACCACTCTATGATTGTATGACTCTTAAATGTAATATTTTAGGTAAGAATAAAGATGATGAGGGATAGGATTCTTGATTTTAGCTGTTATTTGATTTGGAGTTACCAGCAAAACATCCAAGTATAAGTTTCAGTTTGGTATGCAGGTGCATTATTTGCTTAACTGAGTCTGTTAGCCATTACTGGAGTTTAAGCATCTCATTAAATAGTGCTTTAGGAGGCCTCGAGTTTGGATATTGAGAGTAGTGGCCCTAGAAGACAGCATGTACTGATGAATCAGTACTGGTTCTTATGCAGTTTAAAAAAAAATCTTTGTTTCCTTGAATGTAATTAGCATACAGATCTGTATGCATGAAAAAGGATTTTGAAATCTTCATCTTTAAGCTGACACTTTGAGTATCTTTACAACATTCATTCCCATTATTGTTTAAATTCTGCTAAAAATTTATTTGTGCAAGACATCTTTTAATGATCATTTGAAGTATAAATTTTTAAAATTAGGTGCATTCAGGGCATTGTTAAATTCTGAGTCCATCTTTTTGGAAAGACAAAGATGACTTTGATGTATACACACATCTACATTTTCTCTTTGTCCAGAATGGTAATGCTTGAATAATGTTAAGGGGAAGTCACGGCATAACCCCTTTTCCTTTTATCAGTCGCACATGTTTGGGCAAGAGAGAGACCGCTTTGTATTTGTTATGCTACTGCATCACTTAGAAGACTTAATTGTCTATTAGGGGTATTGTCTTTTGCGGCAAGGTATCCAAGTGCACTGTACATGGCCAACTGTTATCAGAATTGAAAAAGAAGCCTTCTGAGATCCGCATAATCATCTGCTTTCCTAAATGAACTGTCTAGATATGGGCTGGGCCCTAATGGTGGAATAGTGACCTCTCTCAATCTCTTTGCTACAAGATTTGATCAGGTACGAGGTTGTTCCTATGTGATATTGTGCTACGAATGCTGCGCTGGGAGACCGTGGGGTTTTTAAGTGTATTTGGAGTCTCAGAGAGTACTGTGTTTGGTTGGCCTCCTAATATTTCTTTGGAGTTATTCTCCATACAGAACCATGTATTTTACAAAGCTACGAAAGTGCATTAGCTTTCATTTGAGAGATTTCAAATTTTCAGCTTTTTTAAAAGTAAAATTTAGAAGCCATGTGTACAGAACATTCTTTAGTCTTTGTACATAACTGTTCTGTTGCACTATGTTCACTATAAAATCTTTCATATGAATGCTCTGATTTTGAAGTAGGGAAGCTAACTTCTGGAAATGGGTTAAGTTTTCCTAGGGTTGTTCAATAATTGACTGTTCTCTTAAATCGTAATGCTAAATCAGCGCTGGGGTGGGAACTTATGCAAGATATTGAGACAGTGCAGAATCTCTTAGTAAAAGGTAGGGAACAACTGCATTTGTTATACCATTTCTTTAGCTAGGTACTAGAATACAGACAAAATCAAGGTTGTCTTTGACCTGTGCAGTGTCTGAGCGTTTTCCACCCTTCCTTAGTAGGAAGGAATTTTCACACATTGAAAACCTTAGATACTTTAATCTTCTTTTGATACATACATGCAGCTGTGCAAGTTAATGTAGGTTCTATAATGAAATGATTATGAAAGTTTCCTGTTGTGAGCCTAAATACAAAGTATATTTCCCTTTCAATCAGGTGATGAAGTTTATTGAAAAAAGGCAAAATGCATCCAAGTGAGTACATTCTACTAAGTTCTGCTTTTCTGGGATCAGTGTGGGAAAACCATATGAAACCTTTAAAAGGTTCTCTGCATTTTTTCTAGTTGGTTTTCAGACTTGGTATAAATTTTATGTGGAAAAGGGCATAGAATTAGAACAGATAAAGTAGACTTTCTTTGCATACATTGAAGAAATGTCTGCTGATCCCAGTTCTGCTTTTCTTGTCTTCCATCAGACTGTCATTTTTTCTCAGGCACTGTTCAAATGGGGCAACAATTAATTCTTATTCTGAAGAGTTTGCAGTAATAAGTGTCTGTCAAATTGATGCCTTCAACTTTAATATAATTTGAAGAGAGTCCATGCTTTTTACTTACAAAATTCACGTAGGAAATTTTCAGGCATGTACATAAATCTTGTCACTGTTTGGGAGAAGCTTTTCTGATCTGTAGCAGAATAATCATGTGATTTGCCGTTATGTGCTTGTGGTAATCTAGTCAGAACAGGACCTTGTGCTTAACTAATTTTCCCTTGTTGTCGGGGGTGACTTCTTACCAGGTATGTTATTATTGACACACCAGGGCAAATTGAGGTATTCACCTGGTCAGCATCAGGAACCATCATAACTGAGGCTTTGGTAAGTGTTTTCTACATGACTTGACAGTGAGGCTGTGTGAAAGAAGTGGCTGTTGAACAGCATGTACTTCTAATTAAAATATTTTTTACTTTGTTTTTCCAGGCTTCCTCTTTTCCTTCAGTTGTTGTTTATGTGATGGACACCTCTCGCAGCACTAACCCTATCACCTTTATGTCCAACATGCTGTATGCCTGCAGGTAAGAAAAGCTGAAAATGCAGTCCATCTGCTTTGCTTGCCATGTCTCTTTGGTACTTATTTTGGAGGGGAATCATAGAATGGTTTGGGTTGGAAGGGACCTTTAAAGACCATCTAGTCCACCCCCTCTTCCGTGGGCAGGGACATTTTTCACTAGATCAGGGTGCAACCTCATCTTGAACAGTACCAATGATGGGACATCCACAGCTTCTTTGGGCAACCTGTAACCATCATCATAAAAATTTTCTTCCTTATGTCCGCTCTAAACCTACCCTCTTCCAGTTTAGAACCGTCACTTCTTGTCCTGTCGCTGCAAGCCTTGGTAAAAAAATATCTCTTTCTTATAAGCCCCTTTAAATGCCGAAAGGCCACAGTAAGGTCTCCCTGACGCCCCCTCTCCTCCGGGCTGACCAGCCACAGCTCTCTTAGCCTTTCCTCATAGGAGAGGTGTTCCAGCCCTCTGATCATTTTTGTGGCCCTCCTCAGCACCCGCTCTAACAGGTCCATGTCTGTCTTAAATAATCCATGAGACCTTAGTGTGATGAAGGCTAGTTACATCAGATCTGACACTTTGCATGTTGCTTATAAAATCATTTATCTAAGATGTATCAACATAGCCTAGTTTAAGTTCCTTCTTGTAAACACATAATATTTTATTCTATTTTTTTTAATATTATTGATACTTTCAGTGATTCTTCAAGATTCGTTTGGAGCTCAGCATAGCATGGGGTTCTTGATTTATTGTTTTCCTCCTCGTACATGGATTTATCTGTTTTCTTTCATGTTAAACCAGGGACTAAATGCCTATGTAAAGATCAACATATCTAGATCTGTCGTAATTCATGGTTAATGTTGGTAAAAGGTTGTCAAAAAACCTGTCAATCCTTGTACCAAGGTAATAAGCTGTATTACTGTGATAGGCCTATGCAAAACATGTCTTATTACATGCTGCATTTTCTGACATTAGTATTGAGCAAAAGATGCTAGAATATATGCAGTGAAATGAGTATGTAAGCTCATGTTTCAAGGTAGTTTTGCTTTATAGATGTTAACTTTATAGAGTTAACAGATGTTAACTTTATGAAGTTATACTTGAATTCATTGCTCAGTTCACAAATAATATCTCAGAACCTAAGGTTTGAGTCAAAACAATTAGAAAATGCACTCAGTGTTTAAAAACTGGGATCTTGGTGTCATAGAAAATAGTAATCAAAATCAACTGGGCGCGAAGAAGGAGATTTTATATTTAACAAATGTGCACTTACATAGTGGGGGGAGCGTACTTTCTGGGTAAAAATTACTTTCTAATTGACGTGGAGGAAAATAATTATCTTTTGAAGTCAAATGTATTCAGTTTTGCACAAGTCTTGTCTACCTTATGCTTAACTTGTTTTCTATTCTAGTGAGATTTAAATTAATTTTTTGTTTTGTTTTGTGTCCCCCCCCAGTATCCTGTACAAGACAAAGCTACCTTTCATTGTTGTCATGAACAAAGTAAGTTAAAGCTATGGTTTCTATGCCCTAGTGGAACATTGTTCTGTGTGGCTTGCTTTGCTGTAGTGTCTTTGTCTTACTACAATAATAGATTTTTCTAGAAAAGAGTAGCAGGCTGAAAACTGAATTTAAAAGGGGTCTTTAATCTGGTATACAAATGAACAAGAAGAATCAGAGACAGGCAATTACAAGCAGACATTCAAGTTAGAGATGATACTAGCAATTTGAAAAATGTTTGCACCTTACCGTAGGCTATAAGGAAACTTAACTTTGTAACCTAAGTGTAAGTTCATTACTGAATCTGCTCTTACAGTCCCCTGCTTCCTCAGAACAATTGTCTTAATCATTAATTATTTCTATTCAGCATCAGGCTGATGATGCACAGTGGGAATTGTCTAACACCTGCCTGTGTTGAGGAAGGAGTCCCAGGTATTGTAGCAGGCAAAACTGAACAAAAGGCGTTTGGTCCTGATCAGTGACAGTAAAAATATGCCAATATTTGCCAGAAAGCAGGTATTTACTAGCTTAAGGATACACCTCCACTGTTGTGTAAGGTACTTGTAGCCTTAAAGGAGTGCTTTTGAGCTTAACAGCTAGCTGGCTCTTTAAACATAACAATTTCACATATTTAAATACCATTAGATTTTTGGTGTGAGTATTCTTCCTCTTTCTCACAGACATCCTTTGTATTCCAGAAATTGCTCCCCAACATAGCAAACTTTGTGTGTGCATGCACATATATCCTATACGCTTCCTCTAGAAAACCCATGCATTTAATGTGACATTTTACTTCACAACACCTGAGTAGGATTAGTGTCTGATGTATTCCAACTACAAACATACTCCCAGTGACCCAAACCATGCATGTCTTTGATATCCGCTTGCTTACTTAGCAAGTTTTTGTAGTTTTCTTTCTAACTCTAGACAGTAATTTTAGACCAAGTTATTAAGCTTTTTCTGTAGAAAGAGGCATGAGGTAGGAAAATCATTCCCTTTTAAGAAAATACATTTTTTGAAAGACTGAAAAAAAAATGGGACTTCATCAGTATATGTAAGGAAAGGTAGGCCCAAGGCTTAGGATTTGTAACTTTAAACTTCATTTTGATCTGATTTTTAGCCTTCGGTAAAAAGGCAAAGAACATTTGAAGAATTTTTGACAAGCGTGGAAGAATCCCAAGGAACTCTCCTCCCTGACACCCAAACCAATCAAGAAAGGATGGGATCTTCAATGAGGACTGTTCTTGTTGGGCCTCAGTCATACGATCTAATATTTACAACTTAAACTTTATTGTACAGCACGCAATTTTTGGATGCGCCTTTCCAGTAAACCATAGAAGCCTTTAGACTTGCAATTAGGGCTATGAAGATGATGAGGGAACTGGAGCATCTCTGGTATGAGGAAAGGCTGAGAGAGCTGGGGCTGTTTAGCCTGGGGAGAAGAGAAGACTGAGAGGCGATCTGATCAATGCTTATAAATATCTAAACGGTGGGTGTCAAGAGGATGGGGCCAGACTCTTTTCAGTGGTGCCCAGTGACAGGACAAGGGGCAACAGGCACAAACTGGAACACAGGAAATTCAGGTGTGAACATGAGGAAAAACTTGTTCACTCTGAGGGTGACGGAGCACTGGGACAGGCTGCCCAGAGAGGTTGTGGAGTCTCCTTCTCTGGAGAGATTCAAAACCCACCTGGATGCGATCCTGTGCGACCTGCTTGAGGTGATGCTGCTCTAGCAGGGGGGTTGGACTAGATGATCTCTAGAGGTCTTTTGCAACCCCTACCAATCTGTGTGAATTTTTTCCTTAAACATGCCTTCTTAACACTGGGATAGTGGTTGGTTTTTTTCCTCTTCCTGTATTGAAGTAATTGGTTTGATAAAAACAGAGCTTGCAAAACTTCAGACCAGGGCTGAGTATTTTGAAAAGATCTGCATTTTGAAAGTAAGTTTAAAATGGAAATTTTTATTTGTTCACTTAACAGCCTAAAGGTAAGAATTCATCATTAATACTTCTGAAAATTTTCTCTTCTTCTTCCAGACTGACATAATTGACCACAGTTTTGCAGTAGAATGGATGCAGGACTTTGAGACTTTTCAGGATGCCCTGAATCAAGAGACATCTTATGTCAGTAACCTGACTCGTTCTATGAGTTTAGTGTTGGATGAATTTTACAGTTCACTAAAGGTAAGAATATTCTTTTTTTTACTACCTGTCATAAAAGCCTGGAGAGGAGAAAGCTTAAGGAGGATATTATTGATGTGTATAAATACCTGATGAGAGGATGACCCAGGGGTCAGTACTGGGTCCAGTCTTATTCAGCACATTCATCAGTGACCTGGATGAGGGGACAGAGTGCACCCTCAGCAAATTCTGCTGACGCTACAAAACTGGGAGGAGTGGCTGATACACCAGAAGGCTGTGCTGCCATTCAGCGAGACCCGGACAGGCTAGAGAGTTGGGCGGAGAGGAAGCAAATGAAGTTCAACAAGGGCAAGTGTAGGGTCCTGCACCCAGGGAGGAATAACCCCAAGCACCAGTACAGGTTAGCGGTTGACCTGCTGGGAAGCAGCTCTGTGGAGAAGGACGTGGGAGTCGTGGTAACAACAAGCTCTCCATGACCAGCAGTGTGCCCTCGTGGCCAAGAACGCCAACAGTGTCCTGGGGCGCATTAATAAGAGCGTGGCCAGCAGGTTGAGGGAGGTTCTCCTCCTCCTCTACTCTGCCTCTGTGTGAGGCCTCATCTGGAGTTCTGCATCCAGTTCTGGGCTCCCCCGGTTCCAGACAGACAGGGAACTACTGGAGAGAGTCCAGTGGAGGGCTACAAAGATGATTAGGGGACTGGAGCATCTCTGGTATGAGGAAAGGCTGAGAGAGCTGGGGCTGTTTAGCCTGGGGAGAAGAGAAGACTGAGAGGGGATCTGATCAGTGCTTATCAATATCTAAAGGGCAGACATCAAGAGGATGGGGCCAGACTCTTCTCAGTGGTGCCCAGTGACAGGACGAGGGGCAACAGGCACAAACTGGAACACAGGAAGTTCCATCTGAATATGAGGAAAAACTTCTTCACTCTGAGAGTGACCGAGCCCTGGGACAGGCTGCCCAGAGAGGTTGTGGAGTCTCCTTCTCTGGAGAGATTCAAAACCCACCTGGATGTGATCCTGTGCAACCTGCTCTAGGTGAACCTGCTTTAGCAGGGGGGTTGGACTAAGTGATGTCCAGAGGTCCCTTCCAACCCCTACCATTCTGTGATGTAAGGATGATGGAGGCAGGCTCTTCTCAGTGGTGCCCTGTGAAAGGACAAGAGGCAGTAGACACAAAGTGAAATATAGGAAACTATGTTTAAACAGAAGAGGAAAAAAGGATTATTGTAATTTTACTGATTGAGCACTGGAACAGATGGTCCAGAGAAATTGTGGAGTCTCCATCCTTGGAGATACTCAAAACACTCTTAGAGAAGATCTGAAGCAACCTGTTCTAGTTAATCCTGCTTTTTGAGCAGGAGAGGTTGGACTAGGCAATCTCCAGAAGTATCTTCCCACCTCAGCCATTCTGTCCTTCTGTAGAAGAGCTTTGCACTGCCCTTTTGAACTGGAATCTGTTGATGAGCCTTGCATTGGGGCCCAGGATTTGCTGGTTTGAACATGAAGTCACACGGTGGCAACCTGAATCATTTAATACAGAATTGTGTTTAATCGTCAGAATAAAGCAAAGATAGGGTGGTAAGAGGTAATGTTCTGTGTTGCAGTGTCTCCCATCTGAGATAATTTTCCTTGTTCTGAAAGTGTCAAGTACAGTTGGGCAATTTACTATGTAGGAAGAAGGGAAAGAATCTCAAAAACAAACAAACAAAAAATCCTGTATATTTGCTGATGCAAGATCAAGTGGGGTTTTTTCCCCACTTACCATGTGTTGAGAGTTTCAGTTTCTCTGAAAACACTATTCATTGGAGGATGTTAATGATCCCATAGTCTGTGCTAGAAGGTTTCAGCTAATTGTGTTTTTCATCAGCTTTTACTTAAGAAAAAGCAAGCAAATGGCTCTATGGATATTACAAGAAAGACAATGAAAATAAATGATTCCATTCATACAGGTGATGATAAATTAGCCAAAACAAAAATAGTGCCCTTTGTGGAACAATATATAATATTTCAGAATGGCTCATAGTGGTGCCATGTACAGGACTAAAGTACTTCCTAGTCCTTATTTGCTAATCAAACAAGTATGTATGTATGTAATATCTATTAGAATAGCAGACTGGAGAGCAGGACATATGCAGAGCATTATAGAGTAGAAGGCAGCTTTTACTTAGGTGCAATGAAAGTATAAATATTAATATATATATCGGCACAGTGCCTAGACTAACGCTTCAAATATAAATATTAATATATATCGGCAGAGTGCCTAGACTAATGCTTAAAATCCTTTGGAATGCGTTATTGTCTGTATATTTACTGTACTATTAATAGAATGCTTACATTTGAAAGTGAGTAGTAAAGACTGTCTTGCTTACAAAAAAGAGGGAGAATTTTCATTTAAGGATGTAAGATTCTTAAGGGTCATCAAGTACTGGCTAGTAATAGTCTTAATTAAAGGTATTTTTAGATAATTGATTTAATAAAAGCAGAACAAATGGCCAGAAGTGTAGTGACAGACAAGCTCAAATTAGAAAGCAAACGTGCATTTTTAAAGTATTGCCATAGTAACTGATTAAATTCTCCATCTCTTGCTGTTCTGGGGGTTGGATTGAGTACTTTTAAAAGTGTGCTTCAGCTAAATACAAAGTTGTTAGAACTTCAGAGACAAAAGGTTATTTCTTGTGGTCTGTTTTGCTTTTTACTTTTAGTACACTGATTTTGCAGCAGCTAACCACTTAAAATACTAGGTTCAGAATGAGAACTTGGTTTATTAACAATAACCAAGCAAACAGAAGAAAGACTTGATCTTTCTTTTGAATTGCCCTATCTTATTCATTATGTTTGGGCATTGTATTAACTGTGTTTTTTGTGGGGTGTTGAGATTGGAGGTACAAGGATGGGTGCAGAGTCAGGTTTTCTTTTTTTTTTTTTTTCAGTTGTTGCTTACTCCCTCCCCATGGTAAAATTTGTAAAACAAACAGGAAAACCCAGGTTCCTGAGTCAAATAAGAGACAGAGGAGGGACGGACAGACCAGAAAACGGAGGTAGCAAACATTAACAGCAGGTGGAGAAAGAGGTTGAAAGTAGGAATGACAGAAGTGGAAGTATTACTGCATAATCTTATGCCACCGTGATGATTAAATGAGTATCATTAGATTCCTCTATATTTTAGTTTTGTTGTTTTTGTTACTTTATAAGATACTGGTTAGTCTTTCCAGCTCTGATGATCCATCAGTTACCTAAAAACTTCATTCACTTACTCTTCAGTTCTGGTATATGGTTTTCTTTTATAGGTGGTTGGTGTTTCAGCTGTGCTCGGCACGGGACTGGATGATTTTTTTGTTCAGCTTTCTAAAGCCGTAGATGAATATGAGAGGTAAGATGATAACCTTTGGCCCCTGACCTGGTGAATACTTGCTGAAGTTATTGATTCGTGAGCCCAAGCCTTTGATTTGAAGGACTGCTCACTTTTCACAGCCAAGGTAGTCTAGGGTTTCTAATAAACTTAAGTGCAAGAGTCAGCATAAAAGCAGCAGTCAGAAGTGACTTTTGTTACTTTTGAATTTTGTGCTAACTGTTCATTGAAAAAGTAAAAGCTGTCTGTGCCAGCAAATCTGTGAAGTCATTTTTTTCCTCTGATTCCATACAGTTATCAAGGTTTGAATTGTCCTCAGGAAGCTAACAGATGAGCTTGGCAGACTGAATAGATAAGCAAGTTAAAATTCAGTAATTCTTGGAGAATTTGCTCCTTACTGAATTCCTCCCCATGAAATACTGCCAGGTTGCTCTATACTGTTAGAAAGCATATCCAGGAACTTGGATTATTTGGAAATACCTAAACCAGACCATAGATTATTGTTAGAGGAAAATATAACATGCTGGATTGGATAGCTGGAGAGAGGCTGCTGCAGCTTCTTGTTCCCAGGTCTGATAAGTCTGGCCTGGTTGTGCTCCCAGGTCTGCATACTGCCTAGTCCCTGCTTACATGAAAATAGACCCTTTCATTCCCTTATGCCTCTATTTCCCACACTTGTCCCCCAACTCTCCTAAAGCCCTCCCTTTTCCTACCTTTGGTTCCTCCCCTAAACATCCCATAATAAATCCTGTGAGATCCCCAATTGCTCTTTCCCTGCATCCCATAATGTGTCCTGCACCCCTAGGCAGCCACCCTTCTGTGCTCACAAGGTGATCCAGAGAGCTCCTGATGAGGCATGGTGATGGGCGTCACGCCTGGATTGTGGGGCTGATGGCTCCTGGCACAGGCCCGGCAGGAGCCAGGGTAGGGTAACCCTTCCTCTGAGTCCTTAATCTGGATTCCATGCCTGCCACCATGCCCCTCTGTTCCCCTGGGTTTGTTGAGATGGGTCTTTGATGGTTTGAAGGCTCTCATGTGATGGGCCTGGGAATATCTGGGCAGGGTATTATTTGTGCTTTCCCCAACCCCCCAAATGTCTTTCTGCGCTCTTTGGAGGTGCTGAGGAGTTTTACCACATAACCTAACAATTATTCTAGGATACGCTACCTACATGATGAAACCCTAGTTAAGGGTTTCATATAAACTGCCAATGCACGCTTGCAGCCCAGAAAGGCAATTGTATCCTGGGCTGCATCAAAAGAAACATGGCCAGCAAGTCAAGGGAGGTGATTCTCCCTTTCTACTCTGCTCTCACGGTACCCCGCCTGGAGCACTGTGCCCGGCTCTGTGGCTCATGGTCCCAGACAGACATGGACCTGTTAGAGCGGGTGCTGAGGAGGGCCACAAAAATGATCAGAGGGCTGGAACACCTCTCCTGTGAGGAAAGGCTGAGAGCGTTGTGGCTGTTCAGCCTGGAGAAGAGGTGGCTTCAGGGAGACCTTACTGTGGCCTTTCGGCATTTAAAGGGGCTTATAAGAAAGAGATATTTTTTTTTACCAAGGCTTGCAGCGACAGGACAAGAAGTGACGGTTCTAAACTGGAAGAGGGTAGGTTTAGAGTGGACATAAGGAAGAAATTTTTTTACAATGGGGGTGGTGAGACACTGGAGCAGGTTGCCCAAAGAAGCTGTGGATGTCCCATCATTGGTACTGTTCAAGGTCAGGTTGGATGGGGCTTTGACCAACCTGATATAATGAAAGATGTCCCTTCCCGTGGCAAGGGAGGTTAGACCAGATGTTTTTTGAAGACCCGTTCCAATCCAAACCATTCTGTGATTCTAAGAAGAGGGTGTCCACATCCACTTTTTCCTTACTTCATTAAAGAACTATTTCAAGGTCCCATAGTGCTACAATAGTTTGGAAATCTGTGAACAGTCTTTCTGCACGAGATCCCATTGAACTGTCTTAGGAAGCACAAGTACTGGCAAGAGAAGGTCATGTCTATGATTAGAGGAAAATGATAGATCTGCTGATTGGATATAGCAGTGAAATGACTGCCTCAGTTGAGCTGGTTTAATTTCTTATCCAACAAGACGATGTGAGAAAGGTTTGCTTTTTAATGAAGTATGTTCACTTATTTTGCATTCATTGGTTTCAGAATCCAAACCTGGGTAAAAAGTACCATTAGTCTTTCTGAAATGTCTCTTAAACATGGAAGCCTAGAGAAAACTTTTTTTTGGGTAGAAATAAGCCTCTAAGATGATCCTTACTTAATATAAATCATGTATTAGTTCAGACTGAATGCACTGTATGTATCTTTTCAGAGAATATCGTCCAGAATATGAGCGCCTGAGAAAAACACTGGTAAGTATTTTTAAGTATTGTATACCTGGGTAGTGTATCTTGGGGTCACTTTTATGCACACAATTGCCTCTATGTTGGGAAGATCTAACATTTCATTTACTGATCATACTCGGTGTGGAAAAACTCCTGTCCTGAAGCTCACTATCTGTCTGTCTTTTCCTAGATATGGCGAAGCATATCTTCACAAAAATAAAGATGATTTGTAAAACAGACGTTGCTCAGTGTTTTAGTGCTAATAATTTATTTGGGCAAATTGTGAGAAAATGATTGGGAAAGATTTTTATATCTTCTATTCAGAAGGATAGAGACTTTTTAAAAAAATAACTTTCTAAAGTGAGTTGTTGAGAATATCACTACATCTTTCCGCACCAACGATGTGTACTGTTTTGACTTAGACAATTAGTAATGAAGGCTGAATTGCAGTACCAAAATCAGTAGCTCTGCTCACCTTGAGCTCTGGCTGTCCAAAGGACAGTTGCCTGCAGGCACAACTGCACAGAGTTTGGCTTCCTGATGCTGCTGAAAATGTTCTTTAAGTCTGTCATGCTGGAGGTTGCGTTCCATGTTTATCCAAAAGTTCTGTTGTAATGTAAGACCTGCTTATTGACTTCTGCTTTTTGGCTGGGGAACAGACTGCTGGTATTGGGTGAGATTACTTTTCTACTGATGTTTTAAACGTACTCATAATCCACATGTAACATTGTATCTGCAGGAGAAAGCTCAAAATAAACAAAAGAAAGAGCAGCTGGAACACTTGTGGAAGGACATGGGCAGCGTGTGCGTGCAGGGCAACACGCTTGCAGGTACCTTACTGGGAAGATTAAGTTTACTGCAGAAGTTGTCTGAAGAGTCTGCCTTGAGAAGTCATATAGTGCTTTTCTGTTTTCACAGCAAAAGCGTGAAAGCAGCTTCATGTCAGTAAAGAGGAGTGGGGCTTTAGTTCCTGTGGGATGGGTCTGACTTAGGTCTTCTATGTGTCAGTCACAGGCATGAGAAGAAGAAACCCTGCTGTGTAGATAAAGCAGTGGACATACTAGCAGTAATTAAATACTTTAGAAAAGGTGAAACCGTCAAATTATAATATGAGAAAGCTCTGCTGTTGGTTGAACTGTTGCATTATATGAGGTTGAGTGTGGTGCTGATGCAGTCTGTCCTGTATCTTTGGAACCCAGAAGGCACTTTCTGTCCCTTTAGATAGAGTAGGTATTAGTTGCTGTGTTTATGTGCAAATAGAAATTGTCAGGGCACAAACTAACTTCCTTGTTAGCATGCTGTTTTGTGTATAGCCGTTTCTGTTCCCTTCAAGGGTCTGATGAGGCTTCTGCAATGGGTCCCTCTGAGCTGATCCTAACACGAGGAACTCTTGATGAAGACGAAGAGAGAGAGAGTGATACTGATGACATTGACCATGAAGGTAAGGGAATGAGCGATCTGATCAGGTCTAAAAGCTATCTAGTCAGGAAATACCCTCTGTATTTCATGAACTGGATTGACTCTAATGAGAGCCTAGAAGACAAGCAAACATTGTCACCTAAATATAGGTGTCTAAATCTGTAGCAGAAGCCTAGCCGCAATGCTTATTCAAGTGATGCTACTCTCTAACCTTTGTGAAAGTTCAACTGTAAATTTTCTATTCAAGTAGTTATTTTAAATAGGTGTATAACATGCATAAACCAGATAATTTGTTATGCTTGGAGTATGCAGTGACCTCTCAACCTAATTAATGCACAATATGTTTCATCATCTTTTTGGCCTTACAGTTTCTGCCTCTGGCTCTCTTCCCTTTTCCTGTGACTCCTGGTCTTGGAGTAATCTTCTTAGTTCTTACAATGTGATTTTTCTCTTGTATAGCTTGCAGACTTAATCTTCATTCTTTCCCTGTTCCATTGATTTTTAGGATCACTTATTTCTGTTGCTTTGTAATGCAATTGAAGATCAAATAGACTTTATGTGTTGCTCTGACTAGCCTAACTCTAGCTTTCTTCAGTAACACAAGTAGAACAAGTGCTGAAATAGTGCTGAACTGTTTATTCCCTCCCCTCCCCCCCCTTCCCCAGTTACTGAGGAGAGTCACGAAGAACCAGCCTTCAGAAACTTTATGCAAGAGACGCGGATGAAATACCAGAGAAGCAGCAACCCAAATGAATGAGACCTTCAGCAACAGAGGATTTGGAATCCCTTGTAATAGACTTAAAAGTAAAGGAACAGCATAAAGAAATTTGCATGGAACCATGCATGAAGTCTTTTATCTGTGAACAGCTTCCTCTGATAATATTTATATCTTTCTTCTTGCAGTAAATGTTGGTCATATGAGCTGAAGCTCTTGTATCCAACTGACTGCAAGTTTGGCCATCTGCCACTGTGGCTTCCTGAAGCTGAAGAAACCAAATAGCACTTTCTTTTGCCCCACATTCTTTAGATATGTCTGTCGAGAACTTAGATTTTGAGCTCTTGACAGCATTAGCATCTAGAGCTACTTACTGGTTTCAAAAAGTGCGCTCTGTTCACCTTGTGCAGACAGGTGTCTGCTGCAGCTGGGACACAAGTGACATCTCTGCTGCATGAAACTTCAATATAGTGCTTGATGTTTTGGTTTTAATTAAATATATTTTATGTACTAACAAATGTGTGATGGTGAATAGCAGGAGATTTCATTTCACCATTATAATGTGAGACTTTTTTCCTATGCTTACAGCCCACCCATATGGATGAACAGCAAATGCATCCTAATAACATTAGATAGACATAATACAGGTGCCTCCTAGGAAAATCCTGAATAAATAAAGTTCCCAGGGGAGTGAAAGTAATGAAAATCTGGCTTGATTCAGCTGAGAACTGAAGTATGCATGACTCTGTACTGGCTGCATATATCTGTAGGTAACGTAAAACAAAGGTGTTTCTCTAGATGAGTGCTTACATGGAATGTAGACAGGACTTGGAGATTGGCTAATACTTATTTTCCTGGTAGGCACCACGGGCACAGATGTTCACGTGCTGTTTACCATTCCAGACTTTGGAATCTTCATTTTCTTTCCCTTCACACGATGTTGTGGCCTCACTAGAGAGATTTCTCAGTGGCAATCTGGCAGCAGGGTCTACTAGCATAAGTTCTGTAGGTTTGTGGAAAACTAGTTTCTGTGAATTTTAGAAGTAAAGCTGGCAGGGAAGGGAAATTGACAACTAGCTGTTACCTGCCAGTTCTGATAGGTTTACTGCTTTATTAATGTTGAGCTTTCCAAGAGTATGACAATTTCAAATTGAGGTAAACTAGTCTGATCTAGTAAGTAGTAGTATTAGAAGCAAAGCTGAAACAAAGATTTCATAGCATACTAGTAAGGTTAAAATAATACATTTGTTGTTAGTCATAGAATCATAAAACCCTAGGGTACAACCTCCCAGCAGTGAT